CAGTAGCTAATCTGTGCTTCCCTTTGCTGTCTCGAGTATAGTAAAACATTTATGAGGTACAGAGGCTTGCAGAAAAGTATTTTAGAAGTGGAGTCAGAACTCTACTGTGGAAACGGGGCTGAGAGAATCATGAATCCGATTCCTTCTCTTGCCAGAGGAGACTCAGATTTGTGATGTGGTTTCTCTGGGTAAACATGAGTCAGTAACAGAAGAGATCAGTAAAACTCTGGTCCACTGCTTAGAAATTAGTGTTTTATGACATCCCCTCTGCCAGGGAAATAAGCATGAAGACAGCGCTTTTCCTCCCACTATTTTTAAAACTCAGATGAGCAGGTGTTCTATTGCTCCACGTGGTGCGCTTTTGAACTGAGAGGGACTGAGCACGGAGAAGCCCGAGTAGCACTGCCCCCACCCCGTGCCACCTGAAACTCATCATGCTGCTTTCTTTGGAGCGGCTGCCAATAAGGGGTTTCATTTGGCTCTGTGATTCTGCTGGAAGGAGGCCTGAGTAAGGTTGAGCTGAGGTTGCAGAGGAAAGGAGCCGTTTGTCCCACAACCTGAACAAAACAGAACTATGATGAAGCAGCATTGTCCATCTGAGGTAATACCCAAGGTACATTGCCTCATGTCAAGAAAATCAAGGACGTGAATACACATGGAGTGAGGTTAAGAATGGAGGTTTTACAGGCAAAAGAAGAAAAGAGAACATCTCTTCTGCGGAGAGAGAGAGGGGCTTCTGAGTGTGTTTTCTGGTTTTCTGGTGAACTGCACAAGGTTTTATAGACTTGTTGAGGAGGTGGTGTTTGATTTACATAGTGTCCAAATATGGGTTGGACCAGGTGAGAGCTTTACATAGCTCCTGAAGAAGCTGGCTATCCACCCGAATCTTCTTATGCATATAGGTTTTCTACTTGGCCAGTGCATGTTGTCTAAGGAAGATAAAGCCGTCAGGTTGAGCATGCCTGGCACCCAAGTAGCCTCCTATTGTTACAGCTGCTGGCATTCGCCTGTGCAAGCTTCCAGCTTGCTTGTCTATATCTGCAGCTCGATTTTACAGGCCGCTCTTTGTTAGAAATAGTTTTGGGGCTGCTTTTTATTCAAAGGGAAACCTTACCAAAGACTTCCTTACTTTCAAACTCTGACTAAATAATTTCTTTAGAACTCCTGTATCAATGGGACTTCTGGATTACAGTTGAAGTAGTTTTGGCTGATCATCAACTCTGCCTCCACTTAATAGTGAAGGCTTTTATTTTCTATGTTTCAAGGAGGGACTCTTTGCTTCTTGCCCTTCTTCAGAATAGCAGTGTGGAAATTGCATTTAAGAACACCTGTTGGACACAGTGGCTCACACCTGTAATCCTAGAAATTTAGGAGGCTAATATGGGAAAATTCCTTCAGGCCAGGAATTTGAGAGCAGTCTGGGCGGTACCCCATCTCTCAAAAAAAAAAAATTACTGGGTGTGGGGATGCATACCTGCTGCCCTGTTGGCCCAGCTTCTGTCAGGAGGCCATGGCAGAAAGGTCACTTGAGCTCAGGAGTTTGGGGCTGCAGTGAGCTATGGTCATGCCACTGTACTCCAGCCTGGGTGACTCCATCTCTTGAAAAACACAACAAAAACCAACAAAAGCCCACTTTCTATCTGGAATGGGAACCGGTAGAGCCTTATGACAGTGAGTGACTCAGAGGCAGAACAAACGTTTGGCCACAGTTTTAATGGTGCAATTTGAACCTTGTGTTTGTCCTACTGACCAAGATTGTGGCTGTCTTAGGGTCCTCCATATGGTCTGGCCTTGGAGGAGAAGAAACTGTTCTTGTTCAACACTTTCTGTTTGTGGAGCCCAAGATAAGAACTTTATGTTTGTTTCACAGATGAGAGGGTGCTAAATAGCTTGCTTAGAATCACACAAGCCACGTTCTTTAACCAGTTTGTGAGTAGATGTCTTCCCAAGAACGTACAGCTGATGGCATAATGCTGACCTTTAGCCTAGGTTAATCCAATTGATGTTTAATGAAAAGCAATAGATTTTCTCCTGTAGCCCAAGAAAGAGCCACTTGACTACAGCTAATCGGTGAGAGAAATACCTCTATCAAAGGAATAGGTGATCAGAATTCATGGGCAGCAATGGGACATAGGAATGTGGAAATGAGAGGTGTGGGCTCCAGGGATGCTGGAGAAAACTCCTCCTCCAGTATTCCCTAACTCTCGAATGCTGCTGTCTTTTCAATACAAATACAAACCGACTCTGTTGTTTTGCACTGCCCCGTGCCCTGAATCTCTTGTTTGTGGACTGTATCCTCCAGTAACTTATTCAAGCAAGGATACACTGAAGCAAATTGTTCTGAAATATGACTTTATTTCTTCTTACAATTACATATTTCCCATTCAAGTTTTAAAGATACTACTCCATTATTTCCCAGCTTCTGGTAGTGCTGTTGAGAAGCCTGAAATCATTCTGATTTTTGATTCTTTGTAAATACTGTTTTTAAAAAAACTTTTCTGAAAACTTAGGAGAGCTGTTTTCCTTTGTCATATATTGCAGATTTTCAAGACAATGTTCCTTGGTGTGAGTTTGTGTTCATGTGTTTAAACCTAGGAGGTTATGTTATTCACCTTGAGAAATTGCCTTTTTTTTTAACTTTTATTTAAGTTCAAAGGGTCAAGCACAGGTTTGTTATTTAGGTAAAGTCTGTCATGAGGTTTGTTGTACAGATCATTTCATTGCTCCGGTATTAAGCCTAGTCCCATTTAGTTGTTTTTCCTGATCTTCTTCCTTCTCTCATTCTCCACTCTCTGAAAGGCTCTAGTGTGTGTTGTTCTTCCGCCTGTTGTATGTTCCTGTGTTCTCATCATTTAGCTCCCACTTGCAAGTATATCTGGTATTTGGATTTTGTGTTCCTGCATTAGTTTGCTAAGAATAATAGTCTCCAGCTTCATCTATGTCCCTGAAGAGAACACGATCGCATTCTTTTGTGGTTGCCTAGTGTTTTTTGTTGTATATGTACCACATTTTCTTTATCCAGTCTACCATTGATGGGCATTTAGCTTGATTCCATATTTTTGCTATTGTGAACAGTGCTGCCATGGACATATGCGTGCACATGTCTCTATAACAGAAGGATTTATATTCCCTTGGGTACATACCTAGTAACCCATTACTAGGTTTGCTGAATCAAATGGTATTTCACTCTTTAGGTCTTTGAGGAATCATGACACTTTTTCACAATGGCAGAACTAATTTGCATTCCCGAATACAGTGTGTAAGTGTTGTTTTTCTCTCTAACCTTGCCAGTATGTGTTTTTTTTTTTGCTTTAATAATTGCCATTATGACTGGTGTGAGATGCTCTAATAATCAGTGACGTTGAGCTTTTTTAATATGATTGCTTGTTGCATATATGTCTTGTTTTAAAAGTGTCTGTTTATGTTCTTTGCCCACCTTTTTATGGGTTGGTTGTTTTCCTCTTGTAAATTTAATTTCCCTACCGATGTCTGATATTAGATTTTTGTGGAATGCATAGTTTACAAACATTTTCTCACATTCTGTAGGTTGTCAGTTTTCTCTGTTGATAGTTTATTTTGCTGTGTGAAAGTTTCTCATTTTAATTTGACCCCAGTTTTCAATTTTGCTTCTGTTACCTTTTCTTTTGGCATGTTCATGATGAAATCTTTGCCTGTGCTTATGTTTTGAATGGCATTGTCTCGTGTCTTGCAGAGCTTTTATAGTTTTTGGTTTTACATATCAGTGTTTAATCTATCATGAGCAAATTTTTTGTATGTAATATAAAGAAGGGGTCTAGTTTCAGTCTTTTGCATATGGCTATCCAGTTATCCTTGAATAGGGAGAATCCTTTCCCCCTTGCTTGTTTTTGTTAAGTTTGCCAAAGATCAGATAGTTGTAGAAGCTTGGTTTTGTTTCTGGATTCCCTATTCTGTTCCATTAGTCTATGTGTTTGTTTTTGTACCAGTACTATGCTGTTGTTTCCTGTAGCCCTGTAATGCAGTTTGAAGTCTGGTAGCATGTCGCTTCCAGCTTTGCTCTTCGTGCTTAGGATTGCCTTGGCGGTTTTTGGTTCCACATAAATTTTTCAAAAGCTGGTTTTCTGAAAAAAATAATAAAACTCAACCTACTTCTTAACATTTTTCAAGAACCCAAATGAAATCATGACTGCTCTTGGAGATGGCACTCTGTATGTTTCAATTTACTACCCAGTAACTGGTCTATTAAAATCATACTGGTTAAAAAATAATAAACTTGAAGCTAGACCAATGAAGGAGAAAGGGAAGAGATTCAAATAACCACCATCAAAAACAATAAGGGCAATATTACGACCCCACAGAAATACAAACCACCCTCAGAGAATATTATGTACAACTGTAGGCACTATTTTTTCTTTAATTTTGAGATGAAGTTTTGTGCTTGTTGCTCAGGCTGGAGGACAATGGTGAGATCTCGGCTTAGTGCAACCTCTGCCTCCTGAGTTCAAGCTATTCTCCTGTCTCAGCTTCCTGAGTAGCTGGGATGACATGCATGTGCCACCATGTCTGGTTAATTGTGTATTTTTAGTAGACATGGGGTTTCTCCATGTTGATCCAGCTGGTCTTGAACTCCCAATCTCAGGTGATCAACCCACCTTGACCTCCCAAAGTTCTGGGATTGCAGATGTGAGCCACTGAACCTGAAAAAATTGAGAAATCTAGAAGAAACTGATACATTCCTGGTCACAACCACCCTCCCTGAGATGCAAGTTTGGTTTAACATATGCAAATTGATAAATGTCATCGTCACATAAACAGAACTAAAGAAAAAAAATTACCCACTCAATGGATGCAAAAACAGCTTTTGATAAAATTCAACTTTCATGTGTGTTAAAAACTCTCAATAAACCAGGTATTGAAGGAACATACCTCAAAATAATAAGAGCCACATGTGACAAAACCACAGCCAGCATCATCCTGAATGGACAAAAGATGAAAGCATTCCCCTTAAAAATTGGCACAAGATAGAGATGCCCTCTCTCCCCACTCCCATTCAGCATAGCTTTGAGGGTGTTCTTTGCTCTTGGGTTTCTAATTCTTTTAATTGTGATGTTGGGTAGTTAACTTGAGATCTCAATTTTGTTTTTGAGATGGAGTGTTGTTCTCTCAACCAGGCTGGAGTGCAGTGGTGTGATATGGGCTCACTGCAACATTTATCTCCTGGGTTCAAGCAGTTCTCCTGCCTCAGCCTCCTGAGTACCTGGGATTACAGGTATGTGCCACAACACCAGCTAATTTTTGTATTTTTAGTAGAATGGGGTTTCACCATGTGTCTCAATCTCCTGACCTTGTAATCTGCCCACCTTGGCCTCCAAAAGTGCTGAGATTACAAGAGTGAGTCACCGCAGCTGTCCCGAGTTCTCACTTCTTGATGTGAGCATTTAGTACTATACATTTCTCTCAACACTACCTGACTAGCTGCATCCCAGAAACTCTGGTAAGTTGTACCTTTGTTCTCATTACTTTCAAAGAACTTCTTAAACTTCTTGATTTCTGCCTTAATGTCATTATTTACCAGGAGTCATTCAGGAGCAAGTTACTCAGTTTCCATGTAAGTGTATGGTTTTGAATGAATTTCTTAGTCCTGATTTCAAATGTGATTGCATTTGCTTTGTGACCTAAGGTATCTTCTATACTTATGAATGATCTATGTGTTGAGTTGAAAAAATGTGTATTTTGCAGTCATTGGATGAAATGTTCCTTGAATATCAGTTCCATTTGGTCTGTAGTAAAGATTAAATTTCATGTTGATTGGTTGGTTTTCTGAAGATCTGTCCAGTGCTGAAAGTTGGGTGTTATAGTCTCCAGCAATTACTGTGTTAGGGTTTATCTCTCTCTTTCTTATTTGCTGCGTGTGTCTGTTCTTTTTTCTCTCTCTCTGTCTGTCTCTATTTCTATCTTTGGAATTTTGATCATTTTAGTGTTGAACCTGTTCAAATTTTCTGTCGGATTTCAACTTTTTTCTTATCGCTATTTCTGGAAGACATAAGGTTCATCTACTCAACTTTGTTGTCTTACTATTCTAACAAGAATTTTTCACAAGTTCTGCTGTCATATTTTTAATTTCTAAGCGTTTACTTTTTCTTTAAATTTGGTTCTTGTTTCATGAAAATGGTAACACTTTTATCTCTTCGAGAACATTCATATGGGTTTCAGAAGGTCTTATCTCCTAGCACAGTCCTCATTCAGGCTGCATTTATGTGTCTTCTTGCTCTGGTCTCGGCCATTCATGTTAGAAGCTTTGCTCAGATGCCTGGCTGTCTGTGTCTGTTAGAAAAAAATGGAGCACTGAAAAGCTAAAAGCTGATGGAAGTTCTGTGATTGTAACATTTTGTGGGCGGTGGTCTTGCAGGGTCAGACCTTTTCTTCTTGAGCAAGAGAGATTCTCTCTAGAGAAAAATCATCTTAACTTCTGACCAAGTGTATCGGCCACCCTCATTGGAACTCAGTGGTAGGAAAACCTGGAGGATCTCAGTGTTCAGTGTGTACATTTAAGCACTTGTGTCTAGAGAGCTCCTGCCTAGAGACACCAAATTTTACCCTATAGAGAGGAAACCTCCACCCTGCCACCACCGTGGGATGCAGTCACCGATTCTAGGGAGAGGATCTGGGATCTACCTACTACTGAAACATAAATTCCCTAGGTAAATTTAGCTGCCAACTCTTGAACCCTTGGGGATTCTGGTTGCCTTCCTGCCACTGGCTTGGGATTTAGCATCTCTGGGTCTACTTTCAGGTGTCACTGAAAGCTTTGCCAGTTTTCTATATGCTGAAGGGATTGTCTTTATTTTCTTTTTATCTTTGTTGGTTTATTTATTTTTAATCATCCCGTGTTAATGTGGTTTAATGATGGAGTGAAGGCATATGCAGGTATTCAACCAAACATCTTAGCTGAAGTCTGTGTAATTCTCTTGTAGTAAAATCTTGATCATTCTATGTTTCAGTTAATCAAATTTTTATATATGCATTCTGATTTGGGGATGATGTGAGGGAAGAGAGAGAGAAAGAAAGAGAGACTCAGACGGACAGAGACAGGGTGAGAGAGAGAGGCTACTGTGACAAATCTGTGGGTCTGTGTATTTGGAAGTCAATAGGAATTTAGCCCTGTTTTCTGTCTAAAAAGCAGGAGTGTCCAGACAAAGGATCTTGAACTAGGCTAAGAATCTTTGAGGCAATGGCGCAGATCCAGTTGTGTTCAATTTTTAGTCCTTAGGCTGAAAGGGAAAATCTGGCTGGGCATGGTGGCTCAAGCCTGTAATCCCAGCACTTTGGGAGGCCGAGGTGGGTGGATCACAAGATCAAGAGATCGAGACCATCCTGGTCAACATTGTGAAACCCTGTCTCTGCTAAAAATACAAAAAATTAGCTGGGCATGGTGGTGCGTGCCTGTAATCCCAGCTACTCGGGAGGCTGAGGAAGGAGAATTGCCTGAACCCAAATGGCGGAGGCTGCGGTGAGCCGAGATTGTGCCGTTGCACTCCAGCTTGGGCAACAAGAGCGAAACTCCGTCTCAAAAAATAAATAAATCAATCATAATAAAAAATAAAATGGTATCTGTTTATTTATTATATATAAATATATATCTAATGACTATATATCTACATATCTACATCTATATTTATATATCTCCATGATAGAAGTTGGAAAATACTGAAAACTGTAGAGGAGTTCGGAGAAACAACCTATAATCTCATTATACAGAAATAATTTTCTTCCCTTTTGCTTCCACATTTTGGCTTAGATCAAATTTAGAAATGATTTTCTTAACGTTTTTGGTATTGTGTTTTTAGAGTATCAAGATGTTGCTGCGTATTCTGATTTTTATGTATAGTTGTGACAGGAACACCCACAAAAATAATTGTTCTAGAAAAGAATTTGTTAACAAATATTTTCTTCCAGGAAGTGGTGTATTAGCGTTTTAAAAGAAACATTTCTGGACGTCAAAGTAGACATTGGGCTTATATCAACAGCTCAATCTTTTTTAAAATACGCTTTATTTTTAGAGCAGTGTAAAGTGAATAGTGAGGCATAGTGGAAAGTACAGAGAGTTCCTACATTCCCACCTCCCCAAATGCACAGCCTCCTCCACTATCAGCCTTCCTCACTAGAGAGGTACATTTGTTACAATGGATGAACCAACATTGACTTATCACTGTCACCCATCGTTTATAATTGACATTAGGGACCATTCTTGCTGTCGTATATTCAGTGTGTAATGGCATGTGTCTACCATTATAGTAACACACAGAGTAGTTTCATTGCCCTAAACATCCTCTATGCTCTGCCCATTTATGCTTTCCCACTTTTCAACTTCCAGCAATCACTGAACATTTTGATGTCTCTATAGTTTTGCCTTTTCCAGAATGTCATATAGTTGGATTCATATAGTAAGTGGTCATTTGAGATTGGTTTCTTTCACTTAGTATTATGTATTTGAGTTTCCTCTATGTCTTTTAATGGCTTCATAGCTCACGTGCTTTTTTTCTGCAACAAAAGCCACATTCAAAGATTATTGCTTTCATTGCTGAATAATATTCCACTGTGTCGATGTAGAGGTTTGTTTATCCAGGCACTTACGAGTCTATAGTAAGCAGTGTGGAGCCTGGGGAAGCCATAAATGGCCTGGTTGTGGTGAAGGCCTGGAGCCTATGTCGGTAGGAGCCATGGAGGTTGGAGGCATTAGATCTTAGAGCCATAGGGGAAGGCCGCTTGGGTTGACAGGGTCTGTCCCATAGCCTGTGGCTATAGAAACCTGCCTGGTGTTGAGTTCACTGAATTGTGCCTGGCATTGGAGTTGATGTTGAAGTCAGGTGTTACATTTACTCTCCTCTCTGCACATACATCGTATCTCTTTCCATGCTGCACTACCCAGGTTTAGGGGCGGGGTAATGCAGATAATATAAAACTCTCTTTTATACTCTATTTTATGCCGTTTTTCTTACTTTTCTACTCCACAAACGTGCTATAACCTCTCACCTGGATTCCTTGTCTTTTTTGAAGACACTTTGATGCACGGATGGCTGTTCAAATTGATGTTTCTGTGAAGGAATAAGTGCTGAAAAGTTCTGTTTTGTCATTTTGTCCATGGCATTCTTCTCTGTTAACTGAAAAAATATTTTTACTGAATAACATATTGTTAAAAATTGTCAGACCCTTGGTTTAGCTCTGGAAGTTTCTCCTTTAGAGCAAGTTCCTTTCATATATAGAAAGACTATAGTTGTAAAATGTTGGTAGAGATGATATTTTGTGTGTAGAATTAAGGACCGATTACACATAAATGTTTAGCGGACAGTAAACATTTGTGAGTAATCTGTTCTTACACACAAAAAGGTCTATAGCTGTAGGAAAGGGAAAATTATCTAGGTTATTCAGACAATATAAAATGAGTTGAGAAAATTGAAGGGAATGTTTATACTTGAATGAGACCTCATGGAGAAAGACAAAATAAGGAAGCCATGGGAGAATATTTGCATTCTCGGAACCACAAAAGTGAGGAAAGCCAAGAGCACAGGTGGAGTTGCACCAGATCAAGTAGACATTCCATCAGAGCCTGAACTGAGAATGCACCATTCCTAGTCACCTTGATAACAGCCCCATTTTCTGTTAATAATACTCTATGAGAAAAATCTTGCAAAAATAGTCAGAAAAGGCAGAGTCACGTGCGGTTCAGTGTGTTCCACCTTGGCAGACGGAGTTTTGGAAGGATCGTGCTGCAGGCAATGGATGAGATAATGATGAGAAATTTTCCAGCTCTGTATAAAAAGGCAAGCGAAATATATGCTTGTGAATTTTTGGCTGCTTTTTAATGCTGTATTTTCAGATCAATTTTATCCCAGTTAATGTGAATATAAACTCTGATTGTTATGGCTATCTCTCGTGGGGTTTCTATTATTTTGTCAGAAATTGTATCAGGAACTTTATATCAATCACTAAATTACACATTTCCAAGCTGCATATGAATTAGGTATTACTATGATCATTTTACAGATGAAGAAGATGAGACTCAGAGCAATACATAAGTTGCCCAAGGTCAGAGAGCAAGTAAGTACCAGAAATAAAAGCCAGATAAATCTAATTCCCATATCCTTGCTCTTTCAATGATGTCTCAGAGTTGATTACAAAAGGAATTGTTCTGTGTGCTCAGGATAATTTACTACCTACTAAATTTAACCATAGGGCAGTCAGGGTAGAGAATGCAGTTAAGATAAAATTTGAGAGGAAAAAATTAAATTAAAATAGTACATAACCAATGATCAGAATATTCTCTCAGTATTTTAGAAATTGATGTAAGAATAAACTAGATACTGATAAAAAAGTCACATTCTTTATGCACAAATCTTGTAAGTAGCTACTGTTAAAGAGAGGATATTATTTACCTAGAAGAAAGTGGGGTTGTCAACCACTATATAACCATTCGTGGGGTGAATGTCTTTTTTATTTTAGGCCTCTGGCTGATGGATCCAAGAGGTAGATGCGTGATGTCAAAATATTCTCTTTTATAGGTAATTACAATTTAAAATGGAAGATACAGAGGCCACAAGGTAGTAGAGTTGAGTTATATTAACAGAAAACCTTGTTAGAGAAAAGAACCTCCTCTCACTATCATGTTCAATGGCAAAGATTAATAGAAGGTACAGCAAAATGGACACACATGCGAGTATACCCACATTGATACTTTTTTCTTATATACTATAAATCATAACCCAGAATATACTCATAATGTGTACAGTTATTGGGATATTACAATCAACGTACAAAATATGTACCATATGTACATTGACTGTGATGTACATATGTGTACACAATACAGATGTACAAAAAATGTACATAATCTGTACAATATGTACATTTATATGTACATAATGTGTACACAGTAGGTATGTACATAATGTGTACAATATATAAATATATTGTAATATTACAATGATTTCATATAATCACAACAGCATATATAATCACAATACACATATAATACATAATATCAATATAAATGTACATATTGCACACATTATATACATTTACATTTATTGTGATATGATATGTACACATGTACACCATGCACACGTGCAGATTTGCGGTATATACACGTGTACAAAAGTGTGCACAGTATGTGCATATGTACACTACACATATGTTCATATAATGTAGATATGTACCTTCTGTACAATATGTACAATATATACACGTATATACTAGGTACACATATAGGTGTATACCCACTTTGGTAACCGGAGAGATTTCTATCTAATATACTAAATATAAAATCCCAGAATGTAGTCAAAGTGTGTACATTTATTGTCATATTGTGATAAATGTATTAAATAGGCACAATCTGTACATGTACTCTGCTGTACATAGGTGTACACAATGCACAAGTATGAAAAATGTACATAATCTGTAAAATATGTACCTATATATTTCTTTAATGTGTACACAATGCATAGGTACATAATGTGTACACTATGCCCATTCCTTAAAATATCAGTGATAAAATATATATAATCACAGTAAGATACATAATCACACTAATACATATATGTCGTGTAATATCACCAAAAAGTACGTATTGTACACATTAGGTATGTATTAGGTACATATGTATAGTGCACATATTATGAAAATATATATGTATCATGATAACACCGTATGTACACGTATACAAATGTGCCTACTATTTAAACAATGTACACATGCAGAAATAGGTGCAAACTACATACCTATGCACAGCAGGCTATTACTACAGTTCTGCTCGTAGCAGCCTCAATGCCCACCCTGGCTGCTTAAAGACCCCCGGCTAGGGGGCTGTACCCACAGCCCCCGCCAGAGGGCCCATAACAGCTACCAGGCCCATGCTGGCTGCTTAGGGACCCCCTGCCTAGGGCGCTGTGCCCACAGCTGCTGGGGCCCGGCTATTTAGAAAATGTGGTGTAATATGATACTGGCAACCATATCACACAGAAATGATAATGTTATGGTGGTTCTTTACATATTAGGCAATAGTTCTAGTTACACATTTGTCATATTGACAAAAATGTCATCCTCACCCCATTGACATTAGAATTGAAAGCATAGGAGGGTTTCACCCCTTGCAATGTTTAATTCAATATAATTGTTTTCTTGTTTATATTAGTGACCATATCAGAGCACGGTGTACATCTCTTGCAAGTATTCAGAATATTTCTCTACGGGCAGCAACATTTTTCTCTCCTTATCTGGATATTAGGAACAATATCACAGGACCGGCTTACAGCGCCAGTCACATCGTGAGCAATGTCATCTGTAATCCCCTAGTTATTAAGAACAGTGTAACGGGGGTCTTGTGTGCTTTTGGAGATATTTGGAGTAATATCCTTTTAGTTTCTGGATATTAGAAACAATACTACAGTGGTGGTGTACACTTCCTGCGATATTAAGAGTATACTCATCCTCTGTCCCTGGGATATTAGGAACTACATCGCAGAAGCCTTGCACTTTGCCTATAATATTGGAACAATAACAGAGTGTACACCTTCTTTCATTGTGAGAGAAATACCTACTTAGGATATGATGGATAATATCACAAAATGGACACACATGGCTATATACCCACTGTGATATTGGAAGTCATTTTTATCTAATATACTAAATGTCATAACCCAGAAAAAACTCATAATGTGTACTTGGGATATTACACTCAATGTACAGAATATTTAACATATGTACATTGACTGTGATGTACATACATGTACACAATACAGATGTACAATAAATGTACATAAACTATCATTTGTACGAATATATGTACAAAATGTGCACACAATAGGTATGCACATAATGTGTACAATATGTACATTTATTGTAATATCACAATGTTATATAATCACAACTGCATATAAAATCACAATACACATGTAATATGTAATATCAATATAAATGTACATATTGCAAACATGTACATTTACATTTATTGTGATATGATATGTAAACATGTACATCATGTACCCATTATGTACAGATGCACAATATATGCAAGCGTACATATGTGGGTACAGTATGTACATATGTACACTACACATGTGTACATATAATGTAGATATGTACCTTCTGTACCCGAGTACATTCTATGCACAATATGTACGCATATAAACTATGTACACACCTGGGTGTACAACCTAACTGGAGAAATTTCTATCTAATATACAAAATATAATAATTCAGAATGTAGTAATAGTGTGTACATTTATTGGCATATTGCAATAAATGTATAAAATAGGTACAATCTGTACATTTACCCTGCTGTACATATGTGTACACAATGCACATGTACAAAAAATGTACATACTCTGTAAAATATGTACCTACATATTTCTATAATGTGTAAACAATGTATAGGTACATAATGTGTACACTATGCACATTCCTTAAAATATCAGTGATAAAATATATATAATCAAAATAACGCATATAATCACAGTAATATATATATATCATGTAATATCACAAAAAAGTACATATTGTTCACAGTAGGTACGCATTAGGTCTATATGTATTGTGCACATATGTACATATATATTTATCATAACACCATGTGTACACTTATACAAATATGCGTTCATTATTAAAACTATGTACCTGTGCAGAACAGGCTATCCCCAAGGCCCACCCTGGCTGCTTAAAGACCCCCTGGCTAGGGAGCTGTAACCACATTCCCCGCCAGAGGGCCCGTAACAGCTCCCAGGCTGACGCTGGCTGCTTAGGGACCCCCTGGCTAGGGCGCTGTGCCCGGCTATTTTGAAAATGTGGTGTAATATGATGCTGGCGACCATATCATATGGAAATGATGTTATCCTGGTTTTTTATATACTAGGCAATAGTTCTAGTTACACCTCTGCCATATTGACAAAAATGTCATCCTCACACCCCTGGACATTAGAATTGAAATCATAAGCGGGTTTCACCCCTTGCAATGTTAAATTCAATATAATTGTTTTCTTGTTTACATTAGTGACCATATCAGAGCACAGTGTACTCCTCTTGCCGTATTCAGAGGATTTGCCTATGGGCAGCAACATTATTCTCTCGTTCTCTGGATATTAGGAACAATATCACAGGACCGGCGGACAGCCCCAGTCATATTCTGTAATCCCTTAGTTATTAGAAAAAATATCACGGGGGTCTTGTGTGCTTTATCAGATACTTGGAGTAATATCTTTTCCGTTTTTGGATATTAGACACGATACTACAGTGGTGGTGTACACTTCCTGCGATATTCAGGGTATAATAATCTTTTGTCCCCAGGATATTAGGTAGTACATTAAAGAAGCCTTGTACTTTGCCTGTGATATTGGAACAATCACAGAGTGAACACTTGCTTTCAAAATGAGAGTAATACCTACTTAAAATATGATGGATAATATCAAAAAATGGACACACATGGGTGTATACCCACTTTGATATAGAAAGAAATTTTTATCTAATATACTAAAAATCATATATCACAATATACTCATAATGTGTACACTTATTGAGATGTTACAATCAATGTGCAGAATACATACCATATGTACATAGAGTGTTATGTACATATGTGTACACAATAGAGATGTACCAAAAACGTACATAATCTGTAGCAATTACAGGTACATAATGTGTACACAATAGGTATGTACGAAATGTGTGCAATATGTACATTTATTGTAATATTACAATGATATATAATCACAACAGCATATAAAATCACAATACACAATTAATACATAATATAAATGTACATATTGCACACATCGTGTACATTTACATTTATTGTGGTATCACGGTGTGTACACATGCACATCATGTACCCATTATGTACACATGTACAAAATATGCACATGTACATATGTGTGAACAGTATGTGCATGTGCACACTATGTACACATAAATACATATAATGTTGACATGTACATTTTGTACATGAGTACCTAATATGCACAATATGTACACGTGTAAACTATGTACACACCTGGGTGTACACCCACTTTGGTCAATGGAATAATTTCTAATATGGTAAAAATTATATTTTAGAATGTACTCATAATGTGTACATTTATTGGCATATCACAAGAAATGTATAAAATAGGTACAGTCTGTACAACATTTACTCTGCTGTGCATAGGTGTACACAATACACATGTAGAAAACGTGTACATAATCTGTAAAATATGTGCCTATATATTTCTATATTGTGTACACAATACATAGGTATATAATGTGTACACTATGCACATTCCTTAAAATATTAGTGATAAAATATATTTAATCACAATAAGATATATAATCACAGTAATATATATTGTCTAATATTACAAAAAAGTACATATTGTACACATTAGGTATGCAATAGGTACATATGTATTTTGCACATATTATGTAAATATAAATTTATCGTGATAAGTCCATATGTACGCATGTACATACATATGCCCGATTTTAAAACTATTTACACATGTAGTAATAGGTGCAAACTATGTACCGATGCACAGCACGCTATTACCAAAGCCCCCCTTATAGCAGCCCCCAGGCCCAGCCTGGCTGCTTAGAGACCCCCTGGCAATTGGGCTGTGCCCACAAACACTGCTCGAATGCCTGCCCCCATGCCCACACTGGCTGCTTAGGGACACCCTGACTAGGTGTCTGTGCCCACAGCCCATGCCAGAGTGCCCGTAGCAGCCCCCAGGCTAACCATGGCTGCTCAGGGACCCCTGGCTGGGTCGATGTGCTCACAGACCCCACCAAAAAGCCCAGAGCAGCCCCCAGGCCCACCCTGGCTGTTTAGGGATCCCCTCGCTTGTGGGCTCTGCCCACAGCTGCTGAGGCCCAGCTATTTTGCAAATCAGGTGTAATATGATACTGGCAACCATATTATATAAAAATGATAATCTTATTCTGTTTTTTTGTATATTAGGCAATAGCTCCAGTTACACCTCTGCCATATTGACAAAAATGTCATCGTCACCCCCATTGACATTAGAATGAAAATCATAGGGGAGTTTCATTCCTTGCAATGCTTAATTCAATGCAATTGTTTTCTTGCTTACATTAGTTACCATATCAAAGCATGGTGTACACCTCTTGCCGTATATTTCCCTATGGGCAGCAACATTTTCCTCTCCTTCTCTGGATATTAGGAACAATATTCCAGGACCAGAGTACAGCCCCAGTCACGTCGTAGGTAATGTCATCTGTAATTCTCTAGTTATTAGAAACAATATCACGGGGGGCTTGTGTGCTTTCTGAGATATTTGGAGTAATATCCTTTCCGTTTTTGAACATTAGAAACAATACTACAGTGGTGGTGTACACTTCCTGCGATATTCAGGGTATGGTCATCCTTTGTCCTCAGTATATTATTAACTACATCACAGACGAGTTTTAGTTGGCCTGGATATTGGAGCAATCCAAGAGTGTAAACCTGCTTTCACAATGAGAGAAATACCTACTCAGGATATGATGGATAATATCACAAAATGGACACACATAAGTGTATACCCACTTTGATATTGAAAGTAATTTTATCTAACATACTAAAAATCATATCCCAGAATATACTTATAATGTGTACTCTTACTGAAATATACAATGCACAGAATATGTACCATATGTACGTTGACTGTGATGTACATATGTGTGCACCATACAGATGTACAATAAATATACATAATCTGTACAATATGTACATTTATGTGTACATAATATGTACACAATAGGTATGTCCATAATGTGTACAATATGTACATTTGTAATATCACAATGATAACAGAACAGCATATACAATCACAATACACATGTAATACATAATATAAATGTACGTATTTCACACATTATGTACATTTCCATTTATTGTGGTATGACGATGTGTTTACATGTACAGCATGGACCCATTATGTACGGATGTACAATAAATTCAGGTGTAGATATATGTACATAGTATGTACATATGTACGCTCTGTACCCATACATACATATAATGTAGATATTTACCTTCTGTACACAAGTACATAATATGCACAGTATGTACATGTACAAAATATGTGCACACATAAGTTTACACCCACTTTGTATCTTATATTCTAAATATAATATCACAGAATGTACTCATGTGTACATTTATTGGCATATCACAATAAATGTATAAAGTAAGTAAGATCTGTACATTTACTCTGTGTACCCAATACACAAGTAAATAAAATGTACATAACCTGTAAAATATGTTTCTTTCTATTTCTATAATCTGTGCACAATGCATAGGTACATAATGTGTATAATATGTACATTTGTAATTTCACAATGATATCATATCACAACAGCATATATAATCACAATAAACGTAATACATAATATAAATGTACATATTGCAAACATTATGTATATTTACATTTATTGTGATATGATGTGTACACATGTACATCATGTACCCATTATGTACAGATGTACAATATATGCACGTGTACATATGTGTGCACAGTATGTACCTATGTATGCTGTGCACACCTATGTATATATAATGTAGACATGTACATTCTGTACATGAGTACATAATAAGCACAACATATAAACTGTGTGCGCACCTGGGTGTAAACCCACTTTGGTCACCGGTGTAATTCCTGTTTAATATGCTAAAAATTATATCCCAGAATGTACTCATGTGTACATTTATTGACATATCACAATAAATGTATAAAATAGGTATAGTCTGTACATTTACTCTGCTGTACATATGTGTACAAAATACACATGTAGAAAAAATGTACCTAATCTGTAAAATATGTACCTATTTATTTCTATAATGTGTACACCATGCATAGGTACATAAAGTGTACTCTATGTACATTTCTAAAAATTTCAGTGGTAACATACATATTATCACAATAAGATATGTAGTCAATAATATGTAGATATCACATAATATCACCAAAAAGTACATATTGTTTATATGAGGTACGTATAAAGTACATATTTATTGTACACATATTATGTACATATATGTTTATTGTGATAGTAACATATGTACATGTGTACAAATATGTGCCCATTATGATGTAGAAATAGGTGCAAACTGTGTACCTGTGAAGAGCAGGGTATCCCCACACCTCCCGCCAAAGGGCCTATAGCAGCTTCCAGCCCCACCCTGGCTACGTAGGGACCCCCTGGTTAGGTGGCTGTGCCCATAGCCCCTGCCAGAGTGACAGTAGCAGCCGCCAGGCCCTCCCTGGATGCTGAGAGACCCTCTGGCTATGTGGCTGTTACCACAGCCACCACCAGAGGGCCCGAAGCAGCCCCCAGACAAATCACAAAGGGCCCGTAGCAGCTGCAATGCCCAACCTGGTTGCATAGGGACACCCTCGCTTGGCTGCCATGCCCACAGCTGCTGGGGCCCAGATATTTTGAAAATGTGGTGTAATATGATACTGGCAATCATATCATATGTAAATAATAATTTTATCCTTTTTTATTATATAGTAGACAATAGCTGAAGTTACACCTCCGCCATTTTGACAAAAATGTCCTCCTCAACCCCTATAGGGGGGGTTAACACCTTGCAATATTTAATTCAATATAATTGTTTTCTTGTTTACATTAGTGAAAATATCACAGCACGGTGTACTGCTCTTGCTGTATTCAGAGGATTTGCCTATGGGCAGAAACATTCCCCTGTCCTTCTCTGGATATTAGAAACATTATCACAGGACCGGCAAACAGCCGCAGTCATATCGTGAGTAATGTCATCTGTAATCCCCTAGTTATTAAAAACAACATCAAGGGGGTCTTGTGCACTTTATGAGATACTTAGAGTAATGTTAGGATTTGGGTAATTTACATGAGGGAGAATATTGAGTTGGTGTATACACTCCAAAACACAGTAGAAAAGGGCATTGTATATTTTTTCTGACAGATTATATTGAGAGCAATTTTGCTTTTAACATTGGGGTACCTAGATAATATTTAGATTTTTTTCGATTAGCGTAAATTTAGAATTTCAGTATTCTACACAAGAGAGCATAATGAACTCCAAAACAGAGTAGAATAGGGCATTGTATATTATTTCTGACAGATCATATTCAGAGCAAATTTGCTTTTAACATTGGGTTGCCTAGATA